GCATCTACTTTTTCATATTGCGGTGTTGGATTTTGAATTCGGACCTCCTTACAGAGAACGCACTGGGTTCAGTTGTGCCGTTAATTGCTAAATTGTATTTTATTATTAAAGAGTGTATAAATTGAATTAATTCTACTCACAATTTCGTCACCCTTGTACTGCTACATAAAATCCAACAAAATTCAATATCGCTCCGGTAGAAACACAAGTGGTAACGAAACTAATGGTTTAATCGCCGGAAATAAACGGCCATATCTCTTCGCGGGTGAGATTATCAATCCAGAATAAATTTTACATTAATCAACTACAATTTTACTGCAAATTCACGTTTATAAGGGTTTTCTTCACTCTTCGGCAGAGGCTATGACTTCCGATTTTCCTCTTTTGACATTCGGCCGCTTGACATTGATGCTCACGTTGACGTTTGCTGATCGCGGACACAGGCGGACTCCGATGTGGGGGCACAGCAAGAGGCCTTATCTGCAGTGCTGTCAGAGTTGGCAACACCCCCCGACCCGTAACGTACTTTCGGTTCCGCTACCGACTCAACGTTACCATCAGCTTGCACCTTCAGCACTGCCAGCTTTGAAACTGGATACCGGAATACTCCACCCGTAGTCTGCACCATAGCCTGGCGTACTCGACCGTCTTTCCCTGGAATTACGGATAGGACGCGTCCCCTGGTCCACCCGCCTTCACCGGTTCCGCTTCACCAAACCATTAGCTACGTTTGACGATCGATGGTAGATATTCCATTACCCATCGTCTCCAGAACTGGTCTACGAGTTGTCTAGCCATGTTCCAGTTCTTGCGGGTTACGCTCGTCTTCTCAGCTAGTGCCCTTGGAGGCTGTGCTACTCCACTGGAACTCAGCTAGATGAAGTGGTTCGGTGTCAGCGCGTCCTGATTGGAGTTCTTCAGAGGGATGAACGCGAGAGGTCTGGAGTTCACAATCGCTTCCGCGTCCGCGACCACGGTTAGCAACGTTTTATCGTCCGGATTTCTGTCGCTGCATAACGATCCCATCGCTACGTTGACCGATCTTACGAGGCGCTCCCAAACACCACCAAAATGGGGAGCGGACGGCGGGTTGAATACCCACTTAGTAGCTGAATTCGTGAACGTCTGTTGTAGTTGTTTCCCTATGGCTTCAATCTTCTCGCGTAGCTTTCGGCTGGCTCCCAGAAAATTGGTTCTATTTGAATGGATTTCAACTGGTGAACCACGGTGTGCCACGAACCTGCGTATGGCTATCTTGCAAGACTTCGTGGATAGCGAGTGGATTGCTCTCACCGTCATGCACGTGAATAAGGCCTTCCACCGTTTGACGCAACTTCGACCAACTCTGACCTGCATGGGACCGAAATAATCCAACCCAACATAGGAAAACGGACGCACTGTGGCCCTAGCTGTGGCCGCAAGCCGACCAGCTGGTAGTGGTGCCATCATTGGTGTAGTTGGCACCGCTTTGGTGATTTTTCACGCTTGACAATCTTTCGCTACACGACGAGCTACTGCAAGCAGACTGGAAACATGAAAACGCTGACGAACTTCATTGGGCACGGTCTCCTGATTGGCGTGCAGATACTTGCGGTGATACCAATCGACAAGTAGCGTGGTCAACGGATGGTTGCGTGGTAGCATAATAGGGAACTTGAAATCGTGCGTGACGTAAGGGATTGCTCCGATGCGACTATCAACCCGCATAATACCCAGATCGTCCAAGAAAGGAGACAACTTGTAAATCGGGCTTGTTTTTTCCATGTCCTTCTCCGGATTCACCTGTCCCAGCTTCAGCACAGCTATTTCAACCGGATACGATGTCGCCTGCGTTATGTGCCAGAGACTGGTCTCCGCTCGTTGTAGTTCTTCCTTCGTCAGGCAACCGGAGAATGTCGACTGCTTCTTGGATCGACGGCGGAAATTTGCTACGAAACGGTGAGCATAAGCGATCGCTCTCAGCAAGCGCTCCCATTTGGAGAAGTTCTCCCAGCTGATGACGTCCTCAACGGCTTGTTTGTGATGTACTAAGCAGGGCCGCAACTCTTCGTCGGTCTCAAGCCGTTTCGTAGACGTCCTCTTCGGCCATTCCGACTCTGGGAGATACAAGAAATCTGGGCCTCGGATCCAACGGGACTGGACGTCGGTGCTGGGACCTCTACCCCACTTAGTGGCTTCGTCAGCCACATTTTGTTGTGTAGCTGCTTTTGTCCTGTTCAGGATCTCTCCCGCTCGGAAGGCCACGAATTGCCGGTGATGTTGCGACTGAATCCAGGCCAACGTTACCTCAGAGTCCGTCCAGAAGATGCGACGAAGGATAGGGAACGTGTGATACTCTCCCACTGCCTTTGCTAGTCTTGCTCGCAGTAGCGCTCCCATAAGCTCCAGACGAGCTACCGATACGGCCTTCAGCGGTGCCACCTTTGCTTTAGCCATCACTAATGTGCAGTGCACTATACCTTTTATAACAGCCCGGAAGTAAACGGCGGTTGCGTACGCTTCCTCATTCGCATCCGTAAAGACGTGTAACTCCACAGAACCTACATCAGCGGCAGCGAATCCTGGAAAGTAGGGTCTAGGAAGTCTGATTTGACCTATCCTTTTAAACAGCGCGCTCCACCTACACCAGCGAGTTTGAATCGCTTCAGTCACTTCCTCGGCCCACTTAGTTTGGCTGTGCCAGGTGTCTTGGATAACCATCCGTCCTTGAATCGTAATGTGTGACAACATGTCTTAAGAATCGAAGAGACTCATGACACATCGTAATATATTTCGCTTCGTTGAAGCAATGTCGTCTAGTTGAACGTCGAACGTTCCGGTAACCAAAGAAGTCCAAGAACTCGCTCTGCCTGATTCTCTTTGTCGATGGATATCGTTTCCGATTGCTGCTGTTTTGGTTCCCCAACCCGTTCCAGAAGTATAGACGAGTTCGAGTGCCAATTCCGTATCTCGAATCCTCCACGGGCGTGCACCTTTTTTACCTCCAGCGCAACCTTGATTGCTTCCTCTTCCGTGTCGAAGCTATCCAAATAGTCGTCCACGTAGTGCTTCTTCAAAATTGCCTTCGCTTCCTGGGTATGAAGCACCGAAACTTCGGATGCTCGCGGAAGAGGAACCTCTGACTACGGAAATCTTGTCGCCGAATCTTGTACTGATGAAACATTTGCCTTAAATCTCCGTTGACCGCTCCCGAAAACCACAGAGTACTGCCGGAAGGGGAACCAGCATAGCGTTCAATGACCATCCTCGTACCTTCGCCGCAGCATCCCAGACAAGCCTGATTTTCCCCGGTTTCTTTGGGTTTCTTACCGCTCCCAGTGGTAGATACCAAACCTTGACAGGATCGGTCGACTTTATTTCCTCCGGTGTTAGTTCGTGAATATAACCGCTTTCTAAGTACCTACTCTTTTACTTTACTCATTCTTCGCTCGAAGCATTCCCAGCGGCGCATTGCCATCGGTAAACTATTTGAAAATTCTAACAGGTCGTGTCGCCACAGCACTCCTGTCTTAAACCCCTTCGTAGTCCGTTTTGTGGTTTCCTCCAAAACTTGTCTACTGAAACTTCTACGCTTGCGATCGCGAAGTGTCGCTCGACGAGATCGTGCAACTCTCGATCGGTTGTCTCCTCTTGGCCCTCGCAAACATGGAAGGTGAAATTCTCCGTCCTCTTTCGGGTCGCTGCAGTCGCGTCTTAGCGGCCAGAGGTTGACCCTCCCGCAGCTTCAGCGTCGCAATCAAACCAGCGTTATTTGAGCCGATTAATATGCCGGGTGATACCGCATCGTAGGTGGTGATAGGTAAGTTCCGTAGGTGTGCATACTGTCGTGCCAACTCCGCCTACTTCAACGTCTGCTTCAGAAGGTTCAGACTGGCGACCGTTCTCGTATCGTTCAAGGAAAACCGATCGCTTTTACTAGAACCTGAAACAGCTAGATAAACACGCTGAGAGTTCGGTTCCTGCCTAGTCACATTGCTGGTCCAGGCCAGGCTCGCAATCGTCAATTCCCAAACGGTCTATGACGGACTGCTCGACCAAAGTCATCGATGATCCGTCGTCGAGGAACGCAAATGTTTCTACTGATTTTTCGTTCCAGAACAGCTTTACTGGCAGGATCCAAAAGAACTTCGACTCCTCGGTAGCATGATGTGCGTTCACTCATCTGTAGACGGAGGCTGTTGTCTCTGCGACTCCGAGTGGAGCAGCTGATGATGTCGTAGCTCACAACCTTCGACTCCACAGCGAGTGGAGGCCGTCCATGTTTTCCAAGACACGTTCGACACAGATGGTGGTCCTGCACAATCTTCCAACGGCTCTCAGGATTCCACTTCTTGAAAACTCCACAGTCTTTGACCTTGTGGTTGGCACTGTTACATGCCAAGCATAACACTGCTGGTGGGGTCTCCTCCTTGCTTTCTTCCTCCGGCGCTTCACTTGTTGAATGAGCGTTTAAAAAGTTCTTGTCCCTGTCCTAAGATGTCCTCTAAGGTCTCCTTCAAAGAGTTTCATTGAGCTTGTAATTCTTCGAGCACACTTTTCGGCTTCTAATTGTACAAATTGATGCAATGGTAGCATATAAATATGTGAAATAGCTGTCACTTCACTTTACCGGAACCTATCCCATCCGTATGCATTCTGCGAGTCGCGTGACTAACATGAACTCTGTTGCCTTGGGGATGGCCTGGCATAGTGGCTAGCATTCATGTTTTCCACGCTAAAGGTCAGGAGTTCAAATCTCATTCCCGTGGGACTATAATAATAAAAACAAGCTATTGGCATCTGATAATCGAATCAAGTTATACAAATATTGCATGGTAATTGCTTATCTATACTGATACATATAGGAAAACTGATTTTTTCACCTGTTCATCCCACGCTTGGTTAATCATTTGCTGCATTATATTTCATTTACCTACCATTATTTTCTGGTGAACTCATTTAAACCTTCCCAAAAGTGACGCCTGAAAGAAAATTTTACCCCTTGTTTACTTATTTTCTAGCGTATATTGATAAGAGCAAATCTATTTCGTCCGTGAATCTCGTGATAATCCCGTGGACATAGAAGAAGAGAAAATGCTACGAAACTAAATAATAACCGCACTATTGTTGTTAAGTGGAAGGAAAGGAAAATCGATTGTGTTGAAAGTATTAGGTGTGTAACCGACGCATTCCCTACAATGAGGTTAATGAATGTAAGAACAGGCAAAGATCCAACTGAACACAAACAACTCCTAATTCACCCCGAAAACATAACAAGCATCTAACTGTGTATAAAACAAATCACACACTACTTATAAAGTCTGCTAGATGTAGTTAAACAGAAAGTAAGCGTTTGGAAATCTAGTTCGTTCACAAAGTGCTGTAATTTTGGTTGATCTATCGTTAACGGATTTAGTTCCCTAGGAAGTGTCTTTCTAAATCGCATACATACATCACATAAAAGAAATCGTTAAGCGGCAGTAAATTATAGGACAAAAAGTGTTGTTTTCCATAAAAATTGCTTGTCAATCTAAATGCATTTACCTCACTATGACCTATCTCTTCGAAAAAGAAAAAGTAAAGAAAACAATGACAGAGGGAAATTGAACAAAAGGCTAACACAAATTATAGATTTTATATCCATAGCTCAGATGTATTTGCATAAATACAATATGTAGCAATAAAGAAACGTATTGTATTGAACAAAACATAATAATATGCGTTTCATTTAATCTAGAATCTAAAGTTCATCATCATCTCCCTCATCGTCCTCGTCATCACTTTCCATGTCTTCATCAGCTGCGGAAGTTTTACCCTTTGCCCCGCTACTACTCGGCCCAGCAGGTCCGGCTTCCACATCCGCATCCATCGGAGTGAAGTCCATGTCCTCTTTGTACTCCATGTCAGCTTCGTGGGCGAGACTTTCACCGGTTTCCACGTCCCGGCACCTGGCTACCATCAGTTCCCGACGGATTTCCGGTGTGATCTTGTAGTGCGACTTTTTCCTGCAAAATACAAAAATCCGCTATCGCAATTTGGTAAGAAAGAAACACCAATCCAATCTTACTTCAACAGCTGCAGCAGGGCATCCCTCTGCTCGGAAGAGATGTCATTTTTATATCGCTGCGCGAAGGTAAGCAACGCACTGTGCCACAACGTTGGCAGCTCTCGTTTGTCCTGTTCAAAGTTCAGGAAATGGAACACTGCGGCGTCCACCACTCGGTATGGTAGGGCGTATCGTTTATCCAGAATAATTCTGATGAAGATCGAATTCGCGCCGGAGTATTCCATTTCGCAAATCTTCAATAGACATGCCGATGTGTGTAGGACCGGGATGGTTGTAGAACTGATGATGCTGCCGAAAATAATTGCCTCTCTCAAGGTGCAATCACCTGATTCCAACAGCGGTAGAACGATGCCCTTCATAAACGCAGCCGGCTTGAACAGAGCCTTCTTCAGTGCTCGGTAAAGGTAGAAGTTCAGTTTGTGATACTCGGCCAGATCGTCCCGGATTCGTGGCAGCAGGACGAGATTGTAGAATCTTTGTGCCATGTACTGCGTCAGTCCGGACGAGAATATCCTGGTGGCTTGAAACATCGCTGCAGCACTCCAATTGTGCGGTTCCGTAATGTATAGAATCTGCTCCCAATTTCTCAACTTCGGAACGATTTTAAATGCCTTTGGAAAGCGTCCACTTCTGTAGCGTTTTAAAACGTCCCGAACACCCTCGTACATCTCACGTACACGGGGATCAACCTCCTCCATCTTCAGGGAACCGGTATCGGAAAATTGCGTCTGAATTTCGGTTTGCTTCTCCGTTATTTTATCCATAATCATTTCGGCCAACGTTCGGGTTTTCACTCCATCCCTAAAACCAATCCAATGAATTTTCACATCATAAATCATCCACAACCTACCATACTCACTTATTTTGAAACATGTTCAGCGCCCGCTCGTCCTCCGCATTGATCTTGATATCGTCGAAAAAATCCTGCGCATCCACATCCGCTTCCTCCCGGTATTCCTCGTCCGATTCATCGGACGAAGCATGATCTCCGAGGCGATGTCTTCTCGTACTGCCTGCAGCAGCGGCTGCCGACTCGGCGAGCGATGGCCCGAACGAATCATCCAGCAGATTCAATTCGGCTTGCTGTTTACGGGCTTGATGAAGGATCTTCTTCGTCGTTCGGGAATCGACGAACTCCTCTTCCTCCGCCCGCAGACGCACCTTGTTTGCTTTCGGTTTTTTCGAAACCCGGCCCTCGTTGATTTGATCGCCGAGTGGCACTTTAGGACCGGATAGACCCTTTATTCGGTGCGCTTTCGATTTACCCATCGTATGCGGATACTTTCTTTTTGTTTGCACTGATTTATTAATAAAAAAATACGGATTTTTTAAGTACAAAAACGATTGGAAAACTGAACACCGGCGACAACGTGCGGAATCAAAACAACACCTCGTGAAGATGTTTGACAGTTCTACTTTTAACGAAATGTTTTTTTTTTATTTAACGAAACACGGGGCACCTATCGACATGGGCGCCGTGTTTCGTTGATGCGTAATGGGGTCGTTTGGAATATTCATTAGGGTGTTCCAAAATAACATTTTGTTATGAAACCTGGGGCCTCACCCCCCGAAAAAAAAATTACAGTGAAATTTTCAGTGGAAACAATGCTCTAACATTAACATTTATTGTCGACAATAAAAATGATTGTTATAATGTTGTACCCTTCCGAAAACGGCAAAACTGCTACCTAGCTGTACAATGAATGTATCAAATAAAATGTTGTTACAATGATTATTATTGTATTTTTCATTTATTTTATTGTTAACATGATTCGATCACGAACAATAATTAACAACTCTATAACAATAAAAATTGTTGTTACATTATATATTGGTGTGTTTTCATTGTGGGTTACTTCACGAACAATAAAAATAAATCTGATTGAAGCATGCAGACTATGAGAGGCAACACTGCCAATGTAATCAAGATAGGCGCTGCTCGTATGGCTCTTGCTTTGACAGTTCGTTTGGCTCTATTCGTTGCCAAGTCAATTGAACGGCTACGACCAGATCGGTTTGAGTTGAACTCAACTCTCCTGCCTCATCTAAATCCCGCTTAATGAAGACCTTTTCCGTGCAGTCAATAATCATACAATAATAATAAAAAAATCCAGATGTCTGGAAATAACTCTCAGGTGGAAGCATATTTCATGGGCGATTCTCTCCAGTTGAATGCATTAACTTATCAACGACGCTCAACCACCAAGGAGACGTGACCTAGAGAGATCGAGTGCAGGGGAGTTGGCCTCCATTTCTCACAAGTTCTGGATCGAATCTCAATCCATAACCAGTAAAAAAAGGACTCACCCGTAACAGACATATACCACCCCCTTCCCTTCCCGGGGCGATGTTTTATTTTTTCGATTTAGCGAAAGTCGAAAGTCGATAAAGTAGATCTGTCAAGCCAACACATACACTCTAAAGTACACTGTTATTTTTTTAATCAATAAATTCGCCAACCAACAGTAAAATAACAATAATATATAATGTTATTGAAAAAAAAATATATGGGGAAATCACGAAAATTTCATTGTTAAGATACTTAACAACCCCCCTTTTTTATTGTAAATTTTCCATTTACCATGAAATTTGCTGTTTTGTACAACATAAATCAAGGTAAATTTATTGTAGACGTAAGCAATATAAATCATTGTTAAAACTATAATTTTCGTCTTATTGTTACATTGTTTTTATTATATTTTTGTTGTTTTTTTTCGGGCCTCCAATTAAAAGCTTAGGGTGTTATCATAGAGGTAACTCTAAGACCACTGGGTCCCGAAGAAAATCATTATTATTTTTGGCTCACTCAGTACCAGAACAACGGTCCCAAGCAGTCCCAAGCTATTTCACTCACCCCTGCATGTTCTGCATGAATCCACACACCCCTGATGTTATCTGTCAAACTTTCATAGCGAATCAAAACAAACATAGTGTAGTAATAGAATTTCAACTAGAATAGGGTACGTTAATCGTTTGCTTGGGACCAATAGGCTACTAAAGTGGTGAGCCAATTTAAAATCGTTAGTTTCGTATTGATTGTTGGTTTAATCGCGTCGTCAGTAGTGTCGGTCGCTTCGTGTGATGGGAAGACACCGCTCCCGGAGCAGGCTCCTGAAACGTTCTTTCTGGCATGATTGTGATATCTTCATAGAATGACGAGACACTCTTGATCACTTGAGTTCTGAAATAGAAGTGTTTGTTTATTGCTTCATTTTTAGCGTTACAAATTCCTACTGGAGGAACTTGGAGTCAATTATGTATATGTTATTTACTCGATCACCAATCAGTGATCGATGTAAAGGGAGAGCGAGTAAAGAGAAAGAGAGAAACTACGGAGAAGGCTATTAGCACCGAGTGCGCTTGACAACGACACTTCGAGTGCGTTGTTCTGGAAATGTAATATGAGTAGGACACCTTTTGTGCCCTGTCGTAATTTATTGAAAACTGCTGTGGGTCTTCGAACTGCTCTATGCACTCATTTACATTTGTTGCATAAGCATTTCGAAGACATGGTATTAATTAGTTTGACGCGGCATGGTGCCGGTTGTATGACTGCATGTTTGTTACTAGGTGGGATTTGGCTACATGTGCATTCCGTATGCCACACTCCGAGAGAAAACGGAGAAGAAGAACAGCGGTGAGGGTAGCTTGAGTGTACCTATTTCGAATAGGTACGCTACTCTTCCCACAGATGTAGGGAATCCCACCTCAGCCACGGTGAAACGGTCTAAGAAGAGGAAGAAAAATCAAGGCCAGTCCGATGCACCATCGACTGACTCACACTGACTGACTCGCACCGAGTGGACGGGACGATGCCACCGCGACGAACGTCAGCGTCATTGGTGATTTCGGCGACGCCGTCGACAACGAAACTGCTGCCAGCCCGAATGCAGCAAAAATGAAGCTTCCTCCACTGGAGGTGAAGCAAGTCCCACTCAACACGCTGATTGGCGATCTTTCATCGCTGGGTGTTGCAGCTGAGTTTAAGCTCGGCAGGATCGGCACCAAGGTGATGCTCCGAACCAAAGCGGAGTACTAAGTGGCCGTGAAATATCTGAAGGATACCAAGGCGGAATTCTTCACGCACGACATCCCCGGTGAGAAGCCCTTCAAGGTCGTCATCAGGGGTCTACCAAACTTCGACCCCAAGATGGTCGAAGCCGAAATCAACCGGTACAAGCTAGCCCCAATCGCTGTCTTCCGAATGACAAGGAGAGATGAAAACGTGAAGACGTACCCGGATTGTCTTTTCCTGGTGCACTTCCAGAAAGGGACGGTGACGCTCAATGCGCTACAAGCCATCCGATCGATCTACTCCATCATCGTACGGTGGGAGCCATACCGTGGCGGTCATCGTGACGTAACGCAGTGTCAGAGGTGCCTCAATTTTGGACACGGTACCCGCAACTGCAACATCAAGCCACGCTGCAGCAACTGCGCTCAAGAACACGCCACTTCCAACTGCCCTGCGGATGGAGCCGTGGCGATAAAATGCGCTAACTGTGGTGGTGCACATCAAGGTTCTGACAGACAGTGCTCCAAAAGCGAGGACTTCAAACGCATCCGAAAGCTGGCGTCAAGCAACAATCAACCAGGACGAAAGAAGGACAAAACCCCAGCATTCAGGACGGAGGATTTTCCGCCTCTTCGTGCTCCCCAGCAAAGGCAAGCGAATTTGCGGGTGCAACCCGCCCCCCCTCAAGAAGCTTCCGATGATTCTGCTGGTCAAAGCTCTCCATCCCTCCCTGGATTCTGGAGACAACCAACAGCGCAAAACAACAACCCCGATCTGTTCTCAGCGGATGAACTGATGGAAATTTTCGTCAACATGTCCGGTGCTCTTCGTAAGTGCCGCAATAAGCCCGAACAGATCCAAGTGCTCGGTAAGTTCATCATCCAGTATGGCGTCTAAACCGCTAACTATCGTCACCTGGAATGCTTGCTCTGTAAGAGCAAAAAAGATTGAGCTTGCCGACTTCCTCCGCAAGCACAGCATCGACGTGGGCCTTCTAACCGAGACCCATCTAAAGTCCGGCGACAGCTTCTGGTTGCCTGACCACAATATTATCCGGCTTGATCGCACCAGCTCCAGGGGGGGTGGTGTTGCGGTCGTCGTCAAGAAAGGAATAAAATACCACACTCTGTCCCATATCCGCACCTCTATCATCGAGGCCCTTGGTGTGGAGGTGGAGTCGTCGACTGGATACGTCCAGTTCATCGCCGTCTACTGCCCTCGACAGTGTGCCGCCAGCAGTGGACTAGCGGCTAAATTCAAGAAGGACCTGTCCACCATCACCCGTACCGGTTCGCGCTTCGTAGTTGGAGGAGATCTGAATGCTCGCCATGAGGCCTGGCGGAACTACCAGCAGAACCAGAACGGTCGTCTCCTGTTCGACCACTCACAGCAAGGGCTGTACTCCGTTTGGTTTTCGGATGAACCAACATTCATCTCACCGGCGGGCAACCCATCGACGCTAGACCTGTTCCTGACAAATATCGGCTTGTCCAAGCCGGTAGCCTTGAACGAACTCAGCTCCGACCACCAACCGGTGGTGTCTGAGCTGGGCTGCAACGTGGCTCCTGCTTCAAGCCTGCGCAAGGACTACCATCGCGTAAACTGGGCCCAGTTTGGACGCGTGGTAGACAGGCACATCATCGACAACCCGCCGCTTGACACCGTGGAGGACATCGATCGAGCGTTGGAGGGACTCCACCAAGCCATAACCGTGGCTGACGAGGCGTGCGTCCGACGAGTTCCTGTGAGGGGTAAGTTTATTGCCATTGATTCCCACACCCAACTTTTGATTCGCCTGAGAAATGTTCGTAGACGCCAGTTTCAGAGGACTGGAGATCTGGGCAAAAAACGTGAAATGGCTGATCTGAACAGACAGATTGCTTCCAGAATGGACTCACTCCGAAATGAAAGTTTCGGGCGTGTTGTCCAGAATCTGGACGACCGCTCCAGACCATTCTGGAAGGTAGCCAAGGTCCTGAAAACTCATCCCAAACCCATTCCACCTCTCAAAGTCGAAAATGATGACGATCGACTTTTAATCACCCCACAGGAGAAAGCAAATGCGATCGGCGAGCATGTCGCTTCATCGCATTTGCTTGGCTCGAATATCCAAAGTCCGCTCGAAGATCAGGTTGCGCAATGCGTTCAAAACCTAAATGCCTCCCCTTATGTCGTGCCTCCGGCGGATATGATTACAGTACAACAAATTTGCTCAGCGCTGAAATGCACCAAGAACATGAAGGCTTCCGGGTTTGACGGTATATTCAACTTGATCTTGAAGAGACTCAGCATGAAAGTGCAGTCTCTTCTAACCGCTATCTTCAACAGATGTTTGGAACTGC